TATATACACATAAAATGATGAATAAATTCTTTTATTAAATAAATAATAAATATCTTATTACATCTCATGCTTCTAGGATATCATTCCTAACAGTTGTTTCATCTTTTAGGACGAAGAACTTGTGATGAAAGTGAGTGAAGGGCATAAATATTTCAAAGGGAGAAGACTTAAGAAAGAGGTATGACTATACTTTAACCTCAGGAAAGCCAAAAACGACGCTTTTATATATAACTCAATAAATACTTTTAATCCCTCTATTATGACATTATTAACTTGCAATCAATTTCCGTCCACTGAAACTCCTTTAAAGAACTAACAAATATCGAAAAAATTAGAGAGTACTAACATGTGAGCGCGTTTACCAAATCGTGAAGAAAAAGTAGTGAATTCTTTTGGTTAACAATTCCACATTTTGGCGCTAAAGAAGCCCTTACGTACTTGCTAACCGTTACAGCCATCAAACTAGCATAATAAAAGAAATTATAAAAAGAAATATTAGTATCACTTTTTTTGTCACTCTCTATATTCATTATTTGATACGTAGACTCTATTATTTTATTTTTTTTTCTCAATTATAGAAGCATCATCAAAGTCAATGCCAAAAATAGATTGATCAATGGATTGTTATGTATGATAAAGAATTGGATCAGCCTTGGTGCTATATCATTCTTGACTCGTCGAACTCAATACTTAGGCTTGATTAGTTCATTTAAACGAATCGTGTCATGGCCCTCGCAATTGGGGTGTCGTGTCTGAAATGTGTTATGTTCTTGTTCTAATGGGATTTGACAACTATAATATAGACAAGCATATGAATTATGATATTAGAATCCCACATTGGTATGATCTACTTAATAAAATGAGGACAATTCTCTCTTAACAAGCCGATTTTGTTAAGTTGAGTTAGGCCTAATATCCTTTGATTTATGTAAAATTGTATCATAGTAGGCCCAGTTTTGTAATGTTGGGTCCCCCAATATCGACTTATTTACAACGGTTTGGCATGATCCACGCTGTGCGTAAGAGAGCATATTAGAATCTCATATTTGCTGGAGATATTGGTATGATCTACTTAATAAGGTGAGGACAATCCTCCTATAACAAGCCGATTTTGTTAGGTTGAATTAGGCCTAATACTCTTTGATTTTGTAAAATATGATTGTGTTCAGCTGCAAAAAAGTGGATTGTTGAAGGCAGGAAAAAATATATATATTTTTATATATCAAGCAGTAATATTGTAAAAATATTATCATAGTGAAAAATAATGTAAAAAAGATAGCGAAATGCATAATTCGTTAGAAAGACTTCGATTAAAAACTAATCTTTTTTTTTTTTTTTGAAAGGCAGTTGTATTTGAACTACACAAATATTAATGCTATGAAGCAAGATATGTGTTCCTAAACCTAGGGGTTGTTCTTTTGCAATAAAACTCAGAAAAAGTTTAAATTCGAGTTATAACTTTATTCAAGTTCGTGTTCTTTTGTAAAATTTGAGTTTGAACTCGAGTTTGAACTCAAATTTGAACTCAAGTTTGGGGTTAAACTCGAATTCAAGTTTTCTTTTCAACTCGAGTTCAGAAACTCGAACTCAAATTGATGAACAATATTTTTCTATTCTTAAAAATGTCATAACTTTTTCGTTTTAATTCTGATTGAGATGATTTTTTTTATATATTCACAACGAAAAGACAAATAAAACCTCACCCATATACCCTATTCAAATTTTTCATCATCATTGAGTTTTTATTAAAATACTATCTAAATACAAATTTAAGTTTTGACCCACCCAAATACAAACTTAAAAAGATTCTCAATTCAAATCATAACTCAAATGTGTACATCCAAACACAAAATCAAGTTACAACTTCAACTCAAGTTATAATTCAAACTCAACTCAAAATTATCACTCATATCACTTTAACTAAAAAATGTAAAAGAACAACCCCTTAATCATTTATTAGATTGGCATTATCCTTCATGTAAATTATATTCCAGTTGACTAGACTGGACAATTTGTGAATGAAGTATGAAGAGGATTAGATAAAAATGAGATATGAATTTTGAATAAACTCAAGAATTTTATTTATTAATTATTATTATTATTATTTACAAATGATGTACGAAGTGATTTGTCATTTGTTATTTGTTAATTCTTTTAATTGGTTATCTATTTGTAAAATAAATTATATCTTACTAATTGAAAATTAAAAACTCATTTTTATAATAAAAGTAATAACTCATTTATTACACCCTTTGGATTGAAACTTTGATAATTTGTCTTTGATTCCTATTGTTGTCGTTTAAATTTCATTCGGTCATTTTTTAAAAACGACAGATCTGAGAAAAAAGGAAAAAAAAAAAAAAGAGAGCTAGAGACCGAGAAGAAAACTGTCGGAAGCCTTTATCATTTGGTAGCGCCCGGTTGGATCCATACTCTACTCGATCCAAATGATATAATGGATGAGAAATGCATTGTTTTAAGATTTTTAGCATTTATTATTAATTAGTATCCTTTTAATTAATATATTTCTTTGACGAAAGGTATTAATCAAGTGTAAGGTGTAAAAATTTAAGATCCATACATTTTAATAGGTATTTGTCTCTTTTTCTTTGCAGGGATTGAATTCTCAATCCGCATTCTGCACCAATCTAGAAGCCTCACATCTATACTTCATAATCATGAACTAATCACATTCTTGATGTTTATTATGTGCGGATTTTGTTATAAACAGTCATAAATCCTCTACCGCATAAAACTCAGAATGGGTTCATATGTCCTTTTTCTATCCCTTTCACTGTTCATTCAATAATAACAGATCACGTCATGATTTTTTAATTAACGTGATAAGAATTTTTAAATTGGCGTGTCACAATATTACTGGAAGGACATGAAAAGGACAAAAATAAAGGGATACGTGAGTTGGTTCCATAAAACCTCTATTGAAATTTGTATAGATGTAAAGAGAAATTAACAGATGACAAATCTAAAAATTGATAAAAAAAAATAATAATAAAAGATACATATTTTTTTTTGTTCTCGCCTTTATTTAAGAAGTCTTTAATAATAAGGGACTTTATCTAGTGTTATCTCTTTTTTAAGAACACTGGTGTTCTCCATTTATATTGAATAATTTCATAGATGCACCCTTTACGCTATAATCCCATCACTCTCAACTCATGTTGTTTCATCTTTTAGGACGAAGAACTTGTGATGGAAGTGAGTGAAGGGCATAAATATTTCAAAGGGAATTAAGAAAGAGGTATGATCATACTTTAACCTCAGGAAAGCCAAAAACGACGCTTTTATAACTCAATAAATACTTTTAATCCCTCTATTATTACATTATTAACTTACAATCAATTTCTATCCACTGAAACTCCCTTAAAGAACTAACAAATATTGAAGAAATTAGAGAGTATAAACATGTGAGTGCGATTATCAAATGGTAAAGAAAAAGCAGAAAAATCTTTTGGTAAATAATTTCACATTTTGGCGCCCCTTACTTGCTAACCGTTACAGCTATCAAACTAGCATAACAAAAGAAATTATAAAGATAAATATTAATATCACTTTTTTTGTTACTTTCTTTATCACTCTCTATATTTACTGTTTGACACGTGGACTCTAATATTTTCTTTTTTTTCTCAATTATAGAAGCATCATCAAAGTCAATGCCATAAATAGATTGATCAATGGATTATTTTGTGTGATAAAGAATTGGATAAGCCTTGGTGCTATATCATTCTTGACTCGTCGAACTCAATACTTAGGCTTGATTAGTTGATCCACCCATTTAAACGAATCGGGTCATGGCCCTCGCAATTGGGGTGTCGTGTCTAAACTGTATTATGTTCTTGTTCTAATGGGATTTGACAACTATAATATACACAAGCATATGAATTATGATATTAGAATCCCACATAGAGATATTGGTATGATTTACTTAATAAGATGAGGATAATCCTCTCTTAACAAGCTGATTTTGTTAGGTTGAGTTATGCCTAATATCCTTTGATTTCTGTAAAATGGTATCATAGTAGGCCCAGTTTTGTAATGTTGGGTCCCCCAATATCGACTTATTCGCAGCGGTTTGGCATGGTCCACGTTGTGCGTGAGGGAGCATATTAGAATCTCATATTGGCTGGAGATATTGGTATAATGGAGTAAGGGCAATCTTCTCCTAACAAGCCGGTTTTATTAGGTTAAGTTAGGCCTAATACTCTTTAATTTTGTAAAATATGATTGTGTTCAGCTGCAAAAAAGTGGATTGTTGAAGGCAGGAAAAAAAAAATATATTTTTATATATCAAGCAGTAATATTGTAAAAATATTACCATAGTGAAAAATAATGTAGAAAAGATAGCGAAATGCATAAGTCGTTAGAAAGACTTCGATTATACATAAACATTAATCTTTTTTTTTTTTTTTTGAAAGGCAGTTATATTCGAACTACACACATACTAATACTATGAAGCAAGATATGTGTTCCTAAACCTTAATCATTTATTAGATTGGCATTATCTTTCATGTAAATTCTATTCCAGTTGACTAGACTGGACAATTTGTGAATGAAGTATGAAGAGAGTTAGATAAAAATGCGATATGAATGTTGAATAAACTCAAGAATTTATTTATTTATTAATTATTATTATTATTATTATTATTTACAAATGATGTATGAAGTGATTTGTCATTTGTTATTTGTTAATTCTTTTAATTGGTTATCTATTTGTAAAATAAAATATATCTTACTAATTGAAAATTAAAAACTCATTTTTATAATAAAAGTAATAACTCATTTATTACACCCTTTGGATTGAAACTTTGATAATTTGTCTTTGATTCCTATTGTTGTCGTTTAAATTTCATTCGGTCATTTTTTAAAAACGACAGATCTGTCACATTGTCGTAAGCTGTAAACGACAATTTTTCCTTGTCGTTTTAAAGCTGTTTCCCCAAGTTCTGTCTTTCCTTCTTCGCAAAGTTCCCAGATTTATTCCGAGTTGCAGAGGAAGTACATAGAAGAGATAACAAGAAAGAATTGTCCGTACATTAATGGCGGCGGCGAAATCAGAGACAATACCAAACCCTAGTTGTACGGACCCGAGCAAGAAGGACGAAAAGAAGAGGAAGAAAGTGTCCGAGTTCGAGTACTGCAAGGTTTGCAAGCTGAATCACGACCAAGGCCAGCGCCACAAGTACTTCCCCAGCCACAAGAAGTCTCTCTCCATCTTCTTCTCCAAATTCCAGACCAAGCTCTCCGACGTCGGCTTCTTTCTCAGAAACCCTAGCCTCCTCCGCTCCGAACACGCCTCTCGCAACCGCGTTTGGTGCGTCTTTTGCGACATGGACATCGACGAGCTCGGCAGCGAGTTTGCTTGGTACGCTCTCTCAAACTTTCCTGATTAATTTCCTGTTTGGATGATGAGAAAACGGATGAAAACGAACGAAAGGGAAACTATTAACATTATTTTTGCAGTGAAAATGCGATTAATCACTTGGCGAGTGCGGATCATATGAAGAATTTGAAGCATTTTTTGTGGAAGTACGGTGGAGGAATGGATTTCATCGATAAATTTAGGATAAAGGAAGCTGAAGTTGCAAAGGTCATTTGTGCTTCATCACTTTTCTTAATTATTTGTCTTTTTAAAAGGGAAAAGTCTTTTTCTTTGTTGTTTAAAAAATTGGTGATTTCCTTGTATTGCAGTGGAAGAAAAAGTGCAAATCGTTGAAGAGTGAAGCTGAATCGTCTAATAAAGCACCAGATGATATCCACAATGAACTCAACTATGTAAATACCACTAGTTTTAACATAGATAATACGAATATATACTCTGTTAATTCAAGGAATTCCAATAGTGTTATGCCTTTACAATGTCATACGAATGAGTATCAGGTATCCCATTCAGGGCTCTCTGAAGTTGCGAATGCTGGCTTGTATTCAGCGGATGTTGCGTCTTCTTCAGCTTTGGAGACGCATTCTGGTACAAGTTCAATAGATTTTTCAACAGGTAATAACTCGCTGTTTATACTTCGACCCATTTGGTTCTTATACTTGACCCATGATTCTGATTCTGCTGTAGCGTTTTTCATCTCACATATTTGAATTAAAAAATTTCTTCTGTGAAAGTTCCCACCAATGAATCAGATTCATTGGCTTGAACTCATGAACCAAATGGACCCTTAATGTTGTGTTCTTTCTTGCATTTGGTTTCTACTTTCTACTATAACAAGTGGTTTTTTTGCCCATGAAATGGAAATGCATTGTTTCTTTTTTTTTTGAATTTCTGTATCTTGACCTTGTCGCTTTATTGGAGGCCATATGAATACACCATTTGAACTTTATGTTCTTCGGAATGTAATTGTCAATGGGGCAGTAAAACATAAAAACAATTGTCCGGGAAGATTTTTTGCAGGAGGTTGATCAAGTGTTAAGTGAGTTTTATTTCACCAGCTTGGAGTAATATATATCTTGGGGATTTTCTCATTCAGGTATGCCAAATATCACTCAAATTTTTGTGCCTGAAGTGGCTGGAGGAAATGTGCATACTGGAGCACCTCCTCCTTGGTTTGATGCAATTGAAGAAAGCCAACTAAATGTTGGACCACAACCAGTCTTGGGTAGTTTTCTTTCTTCATCAAATAATTCAGGGAAGTCCAAGAAATTGAATCCAAAAAGGGTGGGGGCAGCTTGGGCAGAAAGGAGAAAGATGGAGATGGAAATGGAAAAGAGAGGGGAGCTTGTGAAGAAAGAGTTTGATGCAAACTGGCTTCCTAATTTTGGTAGAGTCTGGCAATCAGGTAGCCGAAAAGAGTCTAGAAAAGAATTTGAGTTTGAGAAACAAAACTTATCCAAAGTTGGAAGTCAGCCTGCTGAGCCAGTTGAGATACTGCCTTACATTAGCAAACGAATAAAATCTGAGGAGAGACAACCATTATCCGAGGTTGAAAGTCAGCCTGCTGAGACAGTTAAGATACAGCCTTACATCAGCAAACGAATGGAATTTGAGTTGGGGAAACAAAAGTTAGCCAAGGTTGAAAGTGAGCCTGCCGGGCCAGTTAAGATACAGCCCTACATTAGCAAACGAATGGAATTACAGTTGGAGAAGCAAAAGTTGCCCAAAGTTGAAAGTGAGTCTGCCGAACCAATTAAGATACAGCCTTACATTAGCAAACGAATGGTAAGTGTCAAATTTCCATTTGGTTTACATTTTGAACTTGAGCCTAGTTCTGAGATTTAATTGGGGAATTTTATTCTTAATGTTGGGGTGCATCACTTTATTGCATGTTTTCCAGATTCTCACTAGAACTAAAACCTGCTAACTTGCGCCATAAGTTTTAACAGTAACTAGGGCGAGTGAATGTTTTGTTACTGGCCTCCTTTTTCCGCAATCCCTTCCCCCCCACCACCATATTTGATGCAAAGAGAGAAATTTTTTAATTTGAGATATTATATAATTGTAAGTAGGATACTTTATGGTTTTAGATGTCCAGTGCAATGAAATAGGTTTTTTATTCCCCCACCCAAAGATGTATGCTAATACTGATGGTTGTAGTTCTTTTATGTAAGTGCTTTATGTTCCTTGTTGCAGCAAAGAGATGGAAGCAAATGAATGTGTTGCTCATGGTTATGTTCTGCAAGTGACTGATGACACTGGTGGCAGTTGATCCTACTTTTCCTCCCGCAGTTTTGTTTTGGAAGTGAAATGGACCCAGAATTTTGTAAATAGATGGAAAGGAATCACAGCAAGATTCAGATTGAATTTTATAAGTAGTTGTAGGCTACTGTACAAAAAGTGCTGTCAGTCAAAAATCTGGGTAATAGTTTTCTCATGGGGGGATTTGAGTCTGTAGGACTGAAATTCCTTATAAATCTTGCCAACACATTTATACATTCAGAAAATGATAATGAGCTTTCGTTCTTTAGGAAATGATTTTTAGAAACGTCAATATCTTGATTAATATGACGGACACGCCTTTTCTAGTTTAGCAGTTAAGCTATCATCTGCATCTTATCGTGATTCTGAACTAGAATAACATGTATTAGTTTGAAGAAATTTGATACTATAATGGGACGTGTTTCGTTGTGCTTATACAGACAGATTTACTTACAAAAAGAAAAAGAAAGAGAAGGAAAAGAGGATAAAAAAATGGAAAAAGAAGAAGAAAGAAAGAAACAAGTTATTAGACTAGCATAACTGTTTCAGAAGGGCAAAATTTTGTAGAATTCAGTCGACCTCTGATCCTAAAATTCCAAAGTTTGCCTTTGGAAGAAACTAAGTTCTCATCACATAAAAACTCCCAGGAGAACCATTTCTCAATCATCCGATCAACATCGTGCACTACTACATCTGTCATATTCCCGTTTCTAGCTATCACAGCAGCTGTATATATTGCAGCCATCCTGCCCGGTGCCTCTGGTGAATTTCCGCTTGGCCCATCCACCACAACTATATCCCATGTAAGTTCATAAACTTCTTGTGGCAAATTTCTCAATGCCAATCGACATTTTGATGCTTGAAGCTCTCCTGAGCTGGTGGCACAAGCCTGATTTTTCCTCCCATGCTTTAGCAGTTTGTATGCCTCTTTTGCAGGTGCCTCGTACTCAACCTTGTAGATTCTGGTGGTGTTGAACTTTGGCTTTGTCACATTTAGTTTCTCAGGATCGTCCTCCAGAAAGATGGTGGTGCCACCGGCGTTGATTGAAGAAAGGAATAGGTATTCGGATTCGAGCCCGAAAATGAGGATGTTGCAGGGGGCTTTATGAATAACCAGATTGAATAGAAGCTGGAATTCCTTTTCTGTGAGCACGCTGGCATTTGGGAAGGTTCGTAGAAACTTTATCTTGGACTCTGATGCATGTGAAGGAACTTGAGTGCAGGCTGGAGAAGGTGAAGAATGTGTTTCTTGAAGAGGAGGAGGAAAAGTAGGCAATGGAGGGGAAGAAGAATATGAAGTAACTGTAATTCTAAGAAGTCTGAGGATGGAAATGATAGCGAGGATTATAAGGAGAAAAGGGATGGTTTTCTTCTTGGTAAAGTTCATCTTTTTTGTTCTTTGGCAATATTTCTGGCTGGAAAGTAGCTGTATCGCTTCAGGTGATATTGGAGAAGAGGATCGAACTAGTGGGGTTACAAGAGAACGGCAATAAGGCACTTCTGGGGGCATTTTTTTGGGTTCTCTCTTTGCTTTCAGCTCGACAAAAGCCCCTGCAACATTCTCCTTGCAAAGAGTACTAGTCTTGAGTTTTTTGTTGATTTAAGTTATACGAATTGGTATGGTATTGGATCTTCTTGAGTGAGAAAGAAGGAACGCTTTGCTTTTGTTTCAATGTTTCCCATTTGCCTTTTTCCTTTTGCCATCAGGTTGCCACCTACTAATTCCTCTGGTTGTCATGTTGCATTTGAGAAACCAAACTGCCTAATATGAAAGATTGAAAGTGACCAGTTTTTGAGTTTCCAAAATAATGTTTTTGGGGTCCTCATCTAGAAGACTTGGGTCTTGCGTATAGTTTAGTAGATGTTTAGTTCATGGATTCAGAATTATGATTTAAAATTATTTTTGATTTACGTGTGTTTTTTGTGAGAGAAAATACTGTAGCGAGTCACGAACCATGATCCGAACCATGACACGAATCCACCAACCAAACGCAAAGTTTATTTTTAAGGAGATTTCTATAACAAGTCTTGAAAAGATGAATTACCTGTGGTTCTTCATTTTTAAACATAATATTTTAATTAGATTCTTATCACGTCATGTTATTAGATTTTTAAATTTAGTGGTAACTACCGATAAAAATGTAACTATTAAAAACTAGTCTATAGATATAATATTATATATATATATATTAGTTTGATATGATTTTGATTATACTTAATATTAAAAAAAGGGTACTATCAGTAGGAGAACTACCGTAGAAGGGCCCTATTTGTAAATTGTTTCTTTTTGCGATTCGTTTGGTGGTTATGAGTGAAGGTGAAGGAGGCAAGTGAGTGGTTGCACGGCCGCTTTCAATCAATTTGACCTTCTGGAACGCCTTTCAGTTATACACAGTAAGCCTCTCGATTACTGATTTTGATGGCAGATGTAAACATGATGTCTAAGATTCTGCATGGCAAAATTTAATTTGCTTACAGATGCTGAAGTGGAAAAGAGTGCCCATTAATATTGGTTGGTACTCGATCCTTCATTTTCTTGCGCTCAAATTGAGGAGTTTTGTATGCTGCTTGATGTTGTGGCAATAGAAGTTTGTTCCTGTGTTTTCTAAAATATGTCTTCATGTTGTTTCATACATTACAAGGGCACTTTTATTTGTTTAAAAGAAGAGAAAAGATGTGGTGTGGGCTTTGTCATTTTGAATAAAATATTTATCTATTTGGAAGATTAATGGATTGATTTTCATATTAATTTATGGGTGTTTCTCCCGTAGAATTAAAAAAATAAAACTGCTGGTAGTTTTATTTTTTTCGGCCAGTTTCAGATGTTAAATCTGTATCAGAAACTGTTTGTTCTGCATATTTTTTTAATCTCATTTGATTTCGACCAGATCTAACAGTTAAAAAACTGGTCCTATCGGTATGACTGTTTATCAGAGACAGTCTCTTTATTTATACCCTGAAAATTGATAGATTGATTAAGGATCTCATATGTTGAGTCCATAGAATATAAAGGGAGTTAAGGATTGATTCCGTTTCATTTGGGTGATTTAAGCAGTGACGAAGGAGAATTAATAGATTTTAAAAAGCAAGAGCTGATATGAACAATAGATTGAAGGGTAGTTAGAGTTGCAAAATAGTAAAGAGGGTTAACTATTATAACACTCGCAAGAACTCACTTATGTAAGTTTGATGGCTTGATGCCCATTTCATGCGTAATCTAACAATCATATTGCCGTGAACAAAATAAACAAATAACACAATTTTGACTGGAAAAATTTAAATTTTTGTAGGAAAAAATACTGTAGTAAAAAGTTAATTTGTTATTTGAACCTATGAAAAGAACGGAGCTCTTGTTTGCTTGAGTGGTTGAAGGCACAAATAATATAGGTTTGAGACTTTGAATTGAAATTGAAATTTTTACGAGAGAAAATATTGTATCAAAAAGTTAAATTGTGATTTAAATCAAGAAAAGAATGACCCCTTATTTGTTTGAGTGGTTGAAAGTATAATCTAACGAGAACTCACACTCATGCCTCTAATATTAAGGTTTAGAGTTTGAATTCCCTTCCAATTTTAAAATAAAAAAATAATAAAAAAAAAAGATCTTGCTTGACAAAATGGTCCTCTTTTTGCAAGTAAAATGTTCAATTATACCAAGTTCTTTTGTACAAACAAAATATTTGAAAGCTGTGTTCAATCTTAATGAAAGTACCTTTCCTATATTAAAAAAAATATAATTGAAATCTTTGTGATTATGTTCCATAAGGCCTCTAAAACCTCAGATTTCAAACCACTCTGAACAAGAGGTATTTTTAGCTTAGTTGTCCTTTTCAAGAGCAGATTCGTGGAAAGCCCGTACCGTGAATTTCAACCAAGGGCCTAAAGCTTTTCGATATTAAACTAATTAAGATTCTAATTAGAGTTACAGGTGTTATATGTGCTTTTAATAATGCATTTGAACCACAGGACTCAACTAAAATGCAAGTCTTTGTACGGCAGCTCCATACACACACACACGCATATATATATATATATATATATATAAGTTCCTATATATATATATAATAAATACATATAGATATTTATATATTCTTATATTTAAGTATTCATTTATTCTTATGTCAAGCTTATCATCTCCCACTAAATCCTCCTAATTAAATTATCAAGTGATGGAGATGCATATCCGTTTTATTTTAATGCCAATGTTGAGACCCTATTTTGATGTCAACTTGCATAATTATTAGTTCAATAATTCGTTGAGGATTTTTTGTCCATATGTGTTAGCTCTTTGTCCAAACTCCAAGGCATCTCCAAAAGGCATCTTCATATATTCTGTGAAAACATTGTTTATACCAAAATTGAGAGAAACTTTTCTTTTTTTTTTTGTTTTTTTTTTTGTTTTTTTTTGGGTTTCTTGTGATGTGAAAAGAAAAAATTTGAGTTGATAAATGATTAGCCAAATGATGTTTTAGAGGAGATCAATCTCCAACATTGGCCGTGTGGTTGTGGTAAACTTTGGGTGGTTGAGAAATTTCTGCTCACATTCATAGAAAGCCATTTCCATGTCTTTGTTTTTAACTTTTCTTAGAACTCTTGTGCAATGAAATTACACCTTGCTATGTAAAAACATTTGAGTTATGTTATAACAGACACTTCAATGCCAAAATGATATGTGAGGAATTAAAAGCTTTAAAATTCCTAGCAATAAGAAACGAGGAGAATACAAATACAAATATATGGTACGTTTAGTTCGCTAATTTGAATTTTTAATTCGAGTTGAGATGTGACTTTATGTGAGAGCTTTTTACTGTAGCAAAAAAAAAATAAATGTGACTGTTTCTGAGAACTTTTTACTGTTACAAAACTTAAATTTTAAAGTCAAAACGGTGAAATAAATGAAATCATATTGTATATAATTTATAGTGATTTACTCTTAATGTGAGAATAACATCCGCTTAATTGGAGAAAGAAATACAACTTACAATCAACTTTAAAAATCCTTTTTTTTTTTGTTTTCTTTTTATACTATATGTCCCGTGAAGAGTAAAATTATAGCCCCACGGTGTTAAGTCCCTTAGGCAAGTTAATATATAAGTTGAACTCTATAATTAGGCTAATCACAACTCAAATACTCAACTTGTTTCCCCTTGTTTTAGCATTGTCTTAATTCATAGATTTTTCATAAGGGATATTGTCAAACTATTTTCCGTACGGATTCCTCACTCAAGTATCTGGATCACATGAATCATTCTTTCTCCAAGTTAAATGGTAAAAAAATCATGGTTTTGATAATTGGATATCAAGCTAAAACCTTGTGTGGTAGTACCAATCACTATGACTCCTGAAGACACACAATAGGTTTAAATACAAACCAAACATTCATCTCAAGAGTCACCTTGCCCATTTTTATGTATGCTCCGTTTGTTTCGATAGTTCTGACCTGATTTAAGATTATAATTCTTGGTTCGCTACAATATTTTTCTCTCACAAAAAATTTAAATTTTAAAAATCAAAATCATGAACCATAGTTCTGAACCCATGAACCAAACGTCACCATAATTTGAGTACGGAAGCTTGTCTAAATGTGATTAGACAAAAGAAAATTGGAAATTCATAATTATAGAGCTTGTCTCTTGTTAATAGCACAATCTTCCTATGGTTGATCTTAATAGATCCGCCCACAAAATGTCCTCAATAGGTCATTTTTTATTTTGATATTTATGAGTTAGACATATAAAACAATCTTTACTAGTAATGTTGAAATATAACCCAAACAAAATTTAAAATATTTTACAAATAGTAAAAATTGAAATCATTATAACAATTACTATGTAATTTTGTAACATAAAACGAGAACATATATAATAATCACTACGTATTCCTATTTTTTTTTATTTTTAAAAAAGGGTTATATTTCAATTCCACTCCTATAAACTGTCGCACAATATATTTTTTACTCCAATATTTTCAAGCAGTGTGACATTTGATCCATGGTTAAAATTAAATTATATCAAGGGACTTAGAGAAAGATCAATTCTTTACTTTAAGGTTTGGTTTGGTTATAATAAACCTAACGAATTATCAGAGGCCACATAATAATCAAGAAGAACATTATCAAAAATCATGGTTTAAATTTCACCCAAAAAAAAATAACTATACCCTTTATGGAAAATATTATTTGAGATTTCTGGAAAATACAAGAATGGAGGTATTCTCCTTAAAAAAAATGTCGTGTAGAAAATAAAAATGGGTAAATATATATATATATATATATATATAGTAATAGTCTTGAAATATGGGAGCAAAAGAAATATTATTTGAGAAGGAGAGTTATTTTTTTCGGGAGAGATGAGGAAATAGTAAAAAAAAGGGTTATGTGTTTTGAAGGATAAAAAAAAAATGGTACGGGGAATAAAAGAAAAATGGGTGTTGAAAAAGAAAATAATAAGAATTTTTCTGGAGGAGTTATTCTTGGCTATAAAAAATGAGCTAAAAAAAAAGGTGAGCAGTATGGCAGAAAATAAAAGCTCGGTGTAATGACGATGCAATTACTGGATTGGTTATGGATTCTCGGATGGCTTGTTTCTACGCTAATGAATTTAGCTAATAACTTGATTCTACACCAACATAGACGAAACGGGTTATCAGGCTCAAAGATCGATTGCATGACCTATCTCGCTACACTACATA